CGAACCGAACTGAGACAGTCGAACCGAACGGTTCGGACGGTTTTCATAAACCGTTCCATCCCTAGATGACATGTGTTGTGAATTGGCGCCACATAAATAAACTGAATTGAATGATTGAAGACTAAAATTGACTTTTGAAAATCCAATACCAAAAACGGCCAGAAGATGGAAAAAGTTAATCTTGCAGAAGCAAATGCCTGGTTCACCTAACTTCCTGCACCAGCTGCTAAATGGCTCGCCACCTCGCCACTACTCCTCCAGCCATGCCCAGCGCCATTTATTTAAGGCCTTTATCTGTGGTGGCGACATCTTCCCTGGAGTTCATGATCTGCATTGTTCCCACTCCATGCTATTCCATTCTCTCCATCATCCTTCTCTCCAAACACAAAGTTTCATTTATTTTCTGATTTTTTTTTTTACACGTCTCTTTGTAGAATGAGCCTTTAAATGGCGCAATGTGACTTTCTGTGTAGAACTTCAGCGCTGCACCACAATCTATCTGGCAACTAGAGGAAGAAACAAGAGGAGGATGTGCATGCTTTCCTAAGACCCGCCCATTTCTTCTTTTGATTGGCTGATACTGTTTCAGAGCGCTACTTTGCTATCATTGGCTGACAAATGGAGGAGGGATTTGGATTGTCTTTTTTAGATTTATTTATGGTAAATGTATTTTCCTGAGATTTTTTTTACCCACCGGCAAAAGCTATGAAGCGGAAATCTGACCTGGGGCCTGAATACTTTAATCTCTGTGTTTGTATTTATTTAAAAAGATGATAAATAAAATATCGCATTAAAACACATTTGGAATATTAAGATAAAAAAAAAAACAATTAGATTATTTTTCTAAATCATTCATCCATATTAAAAAAAAAAAATTATTATTAGTTAACTAACAAATATCATAATAGAACCTAGAAAAGAAAAAACCCCAAAAGAATTAGCTAAAACTACAAACCCTATTAATTAATATTTACGATCAATTTAACAAGAAATACTAATTATCTGAACCGGATCAAACTGGACCAACACTTGAACTGAGGGAATCTAAATCTACTCCGACAGACAGCAGTCATACCGATTTCATTCCCATTGCCGTCGGGACAGATGGACCAGAGGATGATCTCCGTTACCGAGGCGACGGCCACCATCTTGTCATTGTCTCCCAGCGAGCCGCCCATCACCTTGGCGTTGAGGGCGACTCTGTCGATCATGCAATCGAGGCGAGGGGAGGTGAAGACCTGCTGCCAGCCGGTGGACTCCTTCATCCTAACAGAGGAGGGAAGGAGACTCCGTCATGGTTCTAATTCATCATCCAGAACCTCAGCTACATTTTCTCCCCGTCAGAACCGAGCATCAGGAGAGACGGACAAACCCAGCCAATCAGAATCTAGCAGGAAATGATGCGTTTACCTGTAGCAGACGACGAACTGAGCATACGCCACGGCGATCCAGTTATGGTGTCCGCAGATGATCCGAACCATGCCGGAATCTGAGGATCCACCTGCAGACGTCCGCTCCTCGGTCCGACCCAGAATCCCGGAGTTCCCCAGGTTCGGAGGCATCGTGTTGCTGCGTCTGACCGGCGCTCTCTCCGCCGGCACGGCCCGACCCGCCATGAACTGTGGTCCGGCTACGCTGTGACGGTTCCGGCGCTTGGCCGGGTAAACTGAGGGAGACGCAGACAGAGAGCGGTTCCAGAACACACAGGGTTTCAGCATTGTTCAATAAACCCGAGGCGTCCAGGATGGACCCGGACCTCCAGAACCGGGTCTTAGCTTCCTTTAGTTCTGCGGGGTCAGAGGGCCTACCTGGTGGGGGCAGGTATCCGTTGAACAGAACATTTCCGCAGGAGGACCGGTCCAGCTCGTCGCACAGCTGCAGCTTCCGCACTGAAATAAAAAGATCCAACCTTTATTTCCGGGCTTCAGGCACCATGTTCACCAGAACATTCTCCTCGTTCTCCGTCTCACCCAGGGGCGTGATCCCGTAGAACTCCGCCTCGTGCATGAGCATGTGCACGTTGATGGAGCGAGGGTACAGCTCTTTGCTCCGCAGGAAGTTGAGGATTGGAGCGAACAGGGAGGGGTCTCTGTCGATGAAGATCTGAGGACAAAAACCCAGAGAGCGTCACAGCCGGGACCGCCACGGAAAAAAAAGAGAACACACGGATACGGGAATACTCACGGCTCCATCGTCATCCTTCAGCGTCGAGATGCGGCCGCTCAGGAGGCTGAAGGTTAACGCAGAAGAAGAAACATCAGAGACACAAACGCTCTAATCAGACGGACTGATGTTTAATGGTTAATGCTGACTGACTCACCTGGAGAAGAAGGAGTCAGGAACCCAGGTGAGCGTCTGTCGGGAGGTGCTGAATCTGGAAAACATTTCAGAGCTCGTCTTTCTACTCGTCATGGAAGTTTGGATCGATTCAGATCAGCTAAACCTGAAACATCAGCTCTGTTCCTCCTAGATTTACTGCTTAGATCCCTTGAGCCTCACTGCTTAAGGCCAAACTCACTTTTTCATTTCAATTCAGTTTA